ATCCTACAGACCGAACAGATCGAACCGACCGCTCCTGCAGGCCTCTCCGACAGACGGACAAGGAGCGGCGAGCCAAGCACCAGAGGGCCGGACGACGCCATTCCACACAGGCACCACCACCGGCCGGTGCTCAGCACCATCTGATCAAGATACGCGCCGGCCGTCCGCGGCTGCATTCCGCGAGCAGCTGCGCCCAAAAGGCTGGAGAGACTCGCCGTGTACCGACTGATTGTGTCAGGGAGATAAACTGACTTCGGTGACACGATCTGCGTGTCCCGGCGACACTCCTCTGGAGAACGAGTCGAGATGTAGCCGGTCGAGACGAGGCGGCAGGCCGCTTAGGAATGAAAAATTCGTTATTAAAATGCGTACCTACTTAGCAAAAATGTCAGACAGACGTCACTCAAGACAGGCTGATCATATCGGGCGCATTTCCACGAAAGTTTCTCAAAGCATATTTATATAGTTGCGTCTAGTCTCCAACATCCAGTAAACCCATCCCACAAAAAGTGACCACATCTTACAAACGGTGACCACACCCCACAGTGACCCACCACCCCTTGCGTGACCCGTCCCGTGACAGGTCGTCCGGCGCCCCACCCCGGGCAGCATCCGCCCGGCGCGCCGGCCCGGTCCCGGGTCCGCCCGTCCGGTCCGGTCGGTCCCCCGCCTCGCGCCGCATCAGACCGGGAGGAAACTGTCGAGCCGGGGAGCCGGCCGGCCGGGGAGGGGGGCCGAGGGGACGGCACGGGAGGGGTATCGATCAGCTGTGGCGCCGGCGCCGGCCGGGGAGAGCGGCGCCGGCCGGCCGCGCCGAGGGGAGGTCGGCGCGGCAGGAGCACGGGCAGGTCCGCAGTCCCCAGTGACGGAGCGGGTGGCGGGCACAACACCTCGGCACAGACTAAACAGCACCGTGTGAGTCCGCACATAGCTGTGAGCCGTCACGACCCGAGGTGACACGCCGCAGATCATTTGTCCAAATCCGCCGGACGTTCCGAAATATCCACAAACGGAACGGGACACAGCGTGAAGCAGGTTGACCTTGAACGACTACCAGCATCCTGCTGAATAAATATCAGTTAACAGCTTGGTAGGTTACCCGGCAATACAGTAGCCACTAAGACAGGCGGAAAAGGGGAACACTTATTTGCCCATGTGTTAACTTTTTTCCGCCGTGTAAACACCCTACACGTACATGAACTCCACCCGAAGCTCGAGATGTGACCAGCCCAGTTCAATGTCATTTTGTCACACATTTCCCCCTCGTTTTCCGCGTTCGGTCTCCCCGTTCCGGTGGAGCGCGTAGCCGGCGGCCACGTGGCGATTTTCCCGTGGTAGCGGGGCAGTACCCGGAGCCGGCTCGACCCGCACCCTCCCTGCCACCATTCCATCCCGTCCGTCCGCCCGTCCCGACCTGCTGTTTGTGGCAGCGGGGCGGCGCGGCACGCGGCCGGAGCGGGGGAGTCCGCCGCCGCCGCCGCGCCGTCCGGCTCCCAGCGCGGCCATACCGGCGCGGCACTGGCCCGCGGCCCGACCGGCACCGGCAGAGGCGGGGAGGGAGGGGTAATTACGGCAGCTCCGACCGGCACGCAGCCGCCCCGAGCCGACCCACAACCGGCGGCAGCCGCCCGGCCGCGCGAGGAGGGAGAGGCCGCGCCGCGCGCCCGCCGCCCGTGCCCTAGACCCAGTGCGCCCGCGCGGAGAGCGGGAGGGCCGGCGGGGGGCAATGATGGCCCGGCAGCCGCGCGGAGCACCGACTGGCAGACAGACGGAGCGACTGAATATCGCGCGTCAGAGCCGCACAAACCGGACAACTTGTCCTGGATATAACAAAAACACGATAACTTCAGAGTCATGAAGGTCAATGAACTCGGCGTCCTCAGACGAAGCTCGTGTGCAATCTACTCAAACTATTCAGGAAGAACAAACTTAGTGACAAACTTCGCCATACTTTTCAAACATAAGGAAGCAAATTCTGCCATTTCACAACTTAGCCGTCCTTCGGGATTGCGAGAATCACGACCGCGTCACTCACGACAATCAACTTCTACTTAGCCCAAGAACAAAGCCAAAACTCGCCGGACGAGGACAGAGGTCCGCTACTACTGACGCCCACGCGACGCGTGCGTCCGGCGGTTCTCTGAGCGGCAGTGACAATCTCCGGCTCGGTAAACCTCTGAGCTATGCCTGGCAAAGCCGGGCGAGCGGCTGCGGTCCGGTGGCGGCGATTTTTTGTTCGTGACCGGTGTCCTTGTCTCGCTGGCAGCGTGCCGCCGAGCAGTGCGTCCCAGCAGCGGGGCCGGGACGCATGCCGGCCATACACAAAGGACTGATCAGAGCGACACTGTGCGATTTGAACGGACTGAAGCGAATGGAACGCGGCTGGAGCGGGCGGCGATCGGCCGTGAACGGAGCGGACCACCGGGAATCGGAACGATCCCAGGGAGAGAGAGGGGTTTGTTTCTGGGGCAGGCAGCAGGCAGTTGGAGGAGGGTGAAAGGCCGGTCTGAGGGACACGAGGGACCCCGAGCCGGGAGGGCCGCGGCGGTCCGGACCGGGCCGTCTGCGGAGCTCCGGCACGGCGCACAAAAACTGGTCAGCTGCAGCACGCGGCAGCGCGGCGGCCCGCCAGCTCCGTGGGAGCGCGGCGCAGCGCCGGCCGGCGGACCCGCCGGTCAGCGCAGAGCGCGCACAAAGAAGGCGGCAGGCCAGCAAGTACGGCCGCCCAGCAACGCCTAACCGTAGCCACAGACACCAGACCAACCGGGGAACTGGGAAACCACCGCACCGGCCACACCAAGGACACGGGGCATGACAGTGCCAGAAACACGGCTACCGCAAAACACAGCGAAATTGCCGCCAGACCGCCGGCCCCAGCGCCGGCGGCCCGGAATTTCTGCCCAATGGGCGCCCCTGCGTGTTTGGCCGCCACTGAGAGGGTCGGGCGGCCGGGCACAGACAGACACACAAGTGCGGACGAGCGGACGAACTCGGGAGACACGCTCGCCACCACGGCCGCTAATCGATAATTGACGGACGCCGGCAGCCGCCCCCGCACAGCGCCGACGGTCGCCTAAAGGCCGAGGTCGAGGTACAGAGAATACGGCACTCACTCACTCAAAGGAGAGAAAAAGGTTGGCAGGAGAAAAGTGACGATGTGTCTCAAAAAGCGTAAAAACAGAAAGAAGAGTTCAGTATCCAAAGAGACCGCCGTCAACCATATCATCAGCAAAGGATGCTCGAAACTGGACAATCGCTTCTACCACTGAACTTGACCACTAAAAATATAGAGAACAATGCATTCTATAGACATTGTATGAGACATGTCTCGAAACTACGGACTGTCCCACAGACCGACTCCAAGAGGCAATGTTCTCAAACTGAGACCCCAAAGTTTGGTTCCCGTTATCATAAATGCTTCTCCACCGAAAAGCGTCCTGAGGCACCGGTCCGGTCCGAGCGGTGTGAAACTGGCCCTGAACGACAGGGCCACCGCGTCGCCAGGCCGCGGCAGGAGGCGCCGGCCGGCCGATTTCCCAGCTGCGCCGCGGGGCCAGCCAACGGCCGGACAAGGCCAGCGCGAGCAGCCGCCGACGGGAAGCCCATGACCGTGACGAGTCGTGTCAGCGGCCCGGGCCGGCTGATCCACGGCTCCAGATTACGGGCCGCAACAGAGCCATCAGAGGATCAGAGCGGGCTCAGCTCGGATGGTCCACGGGCCCACAAACCGGTGCGCCGAGGCCGCTTACAGCGGTGAATGTCCAGCTTCCAACGCCTCGCTCACCCGGACTTGGTCACTCCTCAAGACTGACCAAACACGGTCACAGCAGTCCGTATACCGTGCAGGATACACGGTCAGCAGCTTTTGGGCTATGTAGTTAGTAGGTCCACGACGTGCGCCAAGTTGAATTATCCGCTACTCCTGACACGGCTTTGCTCAGTCCGTCCGCGCTGTGTGCCGGCCGGCTGCCCTGCGGCGGCCGGCGGCGGCGCGGCCGGTTCCGGTCCGGTCACGGCTGCGGGCCACAGGAAGCAGCGTCCACTCACCCCGGCCGTCAGCACGCCATCGGAAGCAGCCTCCGGCGCGCGGCGACCGCAGGCGCCGGGTACGGCGAACGGCGCTCACCGCCGCCCAGCGGGCCGAGCACGGAGCGGCGCCGAGCGGTACGAGCCGGCCAGCGGAGCGGAGCTTCCCACTCACACACACCACACCGGAGGAATGACTAGGAAAATAATCTGCAGGTGCAATTAACAGTTGTTTTGTTGTATGCTGACTCTCTTTGAACTTCACATTAACCAGTGATGAAACTATGTTTTGAAGAGTTTTGTAACATGTACTCAGCAAAGCCATCCCCAAAAGATGTCAATATCACTTGTCCACTTCAGTCTTTGAACTTGTAGTAAAGACTGAGGTCTAAGCTTGATAGCCTCAATCATCTAGCTTATCTTGTATTTACAAGTACACATGCCAAACTTAAGTACCAGTACTGGTGTTATGCTGTAGTCAGTAAATTATCTTAAAATGAAACTGATTATCAATATAATACAATAAACCCTGGGTTAACATAATGTCACATGGTACACTGGGGAAAAAGGGCATAATGTGAACATGGGAAATGGGTATTTTAACAGCCTTAGCACATCCCTCATATTCTAAAACAAGCCAATGCAAAACAAAACAATTGAACAAGCAATTAAGGCTCCAAAGTTCCAAACTACAAAAAAACACACACTCTCTCCAAGCTCAATATGCACCTACCCAGATACACATTTGAAGGGTTATCATCTTTCTGTGCCGTCCATATAGCATTCAATGTTCAATGATTTGTAAAACCAGGTCAGTAACCCGCAGAGACATAGGTACAGCTTGCATTCAGCTTTGTTCAAAACCTATACATAAGATCAAACACAAATACATGGCAATGAATAGCATAAGAATGAGATCAGAATCAAAATCCTTCATCAACATGAATAAGACAAAAAGAACTTAAATTACCCACCTTTCCTGCTGCTCTGCCAAGTCTGACTATCCCAAGCTTCAGTCCTGCGCCAGTATTCTCGGCTGTGTGCAGGTGTGATAGATCTGGGATGTACTTCATGATGCACTGAGTCGAAGGGGAGCCGGATACTAAAAAGTATGATATTGATATGCGTAGTGCAGCAAGGCGACCCAAGACTGACAGACTGAGGCTGCTAAAAGTCCACCTTGACCTACGCCCTCAGGAATAAGGTCTTTCAATCAATTATTATTAAAGAAAGTCCTTGCACGCTTCCAAAGTCTAGGAAGAACAGAAGGCTAAGCAAAATAACAAAGAAAATGCTACAGAAACACAACAGGAGAGGGCCTGGGCCAGATGCACGCCCTGCTCCTACGACCTCCGACAACGAACTGCAATAAATAATTTTGCCAAGGGTACTCCAATTTCGGTAATGGTATCTTATCTTCGTTAAAAACCTATTGATACGTCACAAGTCTCAGCTTGACTTATTATGATTTCCTGTCTTTAAAAATGCGCAATTCTCACAGATCAGGATCAATATAAGGTTTTATTGAAGAAAAAACAAGCAAAAAGCGATACTGTAACTTTTTAACCATTTTTTTACGTTTGAAATGATTCAAAAATTAATTTTTGATGACGTCATATTCTACTTAAGAAAAATCATACAAAGATAGCGCACTTGATTCATTTATTGCGCGTGGCCTTTAATCCGCCGCATCGCGCGCGCGCCCGTTCGGATTGAGTCGGACCAAGAGCAGGGTTACCGCTGCTAGGGAAATTTCCCTTTTCTATGGAAATCAGCGAAGATCTAGGGATATATGGATTTCACTCGAAATCTAGGGAAATACCACCAACCCCAAAAATTGTTGTTTTTGCCTGCTTCTGCGTTGTTCCATTTCGGGAGCGGCTAATTTTTTCATCAAAGTTTTTGTTTTGGCGCAATTTTTACAATGTGGCTAGCGCATATCACTCCCATTCGGTCAAACTGACGGTGCAAAATAATGCATCGATTCGTCTCTTACGCCAGCACTACCGCTACCCATACAGCAGTTTCCCGCGTCCTGCAACACACCACAATTTGCGATATATCACGCAATTATATTATACCACATACAGTAATGAGTAATTTGCTATATGCCAGCAATTTCATCAGAATCTCTTACGTTAACGTAACAGAATGTAGTTAATTGCTGTTTTAGGACGCAGCGACTATAACCATAAGCGGCGGAACGGGGAAGGCACCGGGGCACCGTGCCCCTTTGATTTTGGCATTTTAACATTAGCCCTATGGGCGTTGCATGGCAAGATGGGACCAAAAGTCGTCAGTGACCCCCCCCCCCCTTAATTGAAGGTGTTCCGCCGCTACTGACTATAACACGAATGGTTAAAATGAGGAAAGTACATCAAATTCCATGAAAATAACCGCATCTAGGGAAATTATTCTTAAAAAAGGGAAATTTTCGTGAGAATCTGGGGAAACCAGCGAGACGCCAGCGGTCGCTGACCAAGAGTCGGACGAAGGGTAGGTATATCCGGATATTTTGGTAGGATTTTTTATTTTGATTCCAAGTCCGGAGCCCAAAATCACGGTGGGACTTTGATGTTTGTTTTATAAGTTTTTTTTTTCATTAAATCCAGCCTATAAAGCTTCATCACTCTAATTCAAATTTGGATGAGAAGGGCTTCTATGATATTTGATAAGGCTCGTACCAGCAAAAACAGGTACCCAGGTAGTTACCTGCTTAGGTTGTTCGAGACCTGAATCAGAATCCAACATTGAAATTTGATGTTTTTTTAATTTGATGCTTGAGCCCAGATTGGAAAACATCCATACCCTATGCCGGATGCCTGTGAGACCCTCTTGCGCTGAATTTTGGCGCAAGTGCTTTTGCACTCAAATTTCTGCATGATGTGTGCCGAAAATTGGATGCCTTTTTGTGCTGAAATCAAGCCACTTTTATATAAAGCACATGTTTGCATCTACTGAGCAAGGCTATATCAACCAGAGTGTTCCTGGAGCCTTGGATGCTCTCCCATGTTTGAGAGTCGAAACTCGAAACAAGTTTTTATTTCTACGGAAAACCAATATCTCAATATTATTATGCTAGAGCGCTGTAGCGGTGTGCCGTAAAACAAGACCGGAGCCGAAAGTTCCGCGGCCACAAAAATCTACGCTAAAATCGGCGGAGCAGTGTGTTCGGGACTGGCGGGAGCCAGCGATGGCCGGGCAGCGGAGCAGCACGTACTCCGGCACATCAGCCTCTTTTGGCACACGGCGCAAAGCGCCGCGAGGCGCGAGGCACCGCTTGTCTGGGCAATGCTGGCACGCCGCGGAGTGGAGACAGCCGATTTTCGGTGCATGTTACCGCCGAGAGGGGGAATTGAAGGAATAGGAGGTGCCAGTTCAGTTTATTGCTTAGGGCATGCGAATGTGCAACACTTACCTGTGCATGTCTGCCTGCGGAATTTGCACTGCATGGGATGTTGGGACGTTTGCTTTGTGTTGCAATCGTGGCTGCCGGGTTTGCTCACACATGTTTTGCCTTCTCTTACAGTGCAAACGTGCTAAAGTAATTGTTCATTGATGACAGGCGTATTGTGGACCATTGAACTCCTTCATCTTGCAAACGAAGTACGTATCCATACGTTTATGTGTTAAATGTCTGCGGTCAACTGTGGCTACGCTATGGAGTCATTTGTTTTCTAATGAGCTGGCCACTACTTTGAATTGACACTGATCACAACAGAATGTTCAGCAGACGCCAGACAGTACAAAATGTGAATGATTGCTTGTGAATAATGCACTGTCAAACAAATCGCTAGAATGCTTGCTCGATTGTCTTGTCCGCATAGCTTCTTGCGCAGGGCTGTCGTGCATGAATCGTGCATGAGCACTGCATGAGCTTCATGTGACTGACGGTGCGTGATCTGTGCGTGTTTGTTGCAGCTTTTACGTGACAAATGAATGGACTACTGCTGCAATACATCACTGGGGCAATCCTAACTGTCCTTCTCTATTGATGGTAGTTGACGAAACGCGGTTACAGTAAAAGTTCGTTTGCTGCTTCCTTTTCCAGTCACTCAATGAACACAAGCTGAACAAGCTTACCTTCTGTCCAATGTAATGTCCCATCCTTGTCATTGGTATCACTGAAGAGGAGAATTGAAGACAAGATGGATCAACAGAAGGTTCAAGTGCAAGAGAAGAAGACAACTGTATGTGAAAGGTCACGACCAACAAGAGGAAAGAAGATGACTGAAGCTGGCAGAGAATACCAATGTGGTATCAAGACACAGGCATATAACAGATACTGCAAGGAGCTTAACAAGCTGGCAGTGCGCATACTGACTGAAGATGGCATGGAAATAGCAGACGATATCAGTCAGGAACTTCTGGACAAATGGATGCTTTGCCATCAGGAGTTCCTACAGATTGAACAGGAACTCCGAGAACTGCTGGATCCTGAAGACAGACTCCAACATGACAAGAAACATGGCCAGCAACTGGAAGAAATGAAAGTGATTCTTGGTCTTCTAAGACAACAAGATCCAAGAGGGCTTCTCTGCCGCCCGTATTCAAGTGCTGCACCTGGTGCAGTTGGAGGACAGGGTGTGACGCAAGAGACGCCTCAAACCGACCTCAGGATTGAACGCGATGATGACAACAAAAGCGCTGCATCTCGAAAGAGCACTGCAAGCTCGTTTCGTGCTAAGCTGCTCGAAACCCGCCTTCAGGATGAGCGTCAGCGAGCTGAAGCGGAAGCGAAGATGGCTGCTCTCCAGAGTAGGAGGAAACTGGACCAAATGAGACAGGAACTCGAATGGAAAGAAGAAGAGCTGCGGCTGAAGACACAAATTGAAGTCAGTGCAGCACAGAGGGAAGCTGCAAACCGGATTGCAGAGGAAGAAGAAGAGATGTTTGTTATGGAAACAGGAGCAAGACCTCGCATGTGTGTCGAACATCAGCAAGCTCCTGCTGCTATGCATGAAGCCGCAACACTGAGAAACTATCAAGAAACTGAAGGTCCAACCATCGACACAGCTGGCCTCGGTATCAGTCGCTCAACAAGAGTTCCGTTGGACGCAGTCGGTGATCCGCAAGGAAACGCTGAGATGACATCTCAAGAACAACTGCTGACGGGTCTGTCAACGCTGTTGTCAGCTCAGAACAAAAGAAGTGATCTCCCTAAGCTGGAGCCAGACGTTTTCAAGGGCAACGTTGAAGACTTTCCGCTTTGGTTAAAGTCGTTTGAGTCCTTCATTGAAAGCAAGACCGAGTCTCCAGTTGAACGGCTGAACTACATGTCTCGTTACACGGCCGGAGAAGCGAGGAGTGCGATACACGGACTGCTGTGCCTCAGGACCAACGACGCGTATGACCGAGCGAAGGCACGCCTCATCGAGCGATATGGGAACAGCTTCATTACCGTCACAAGCTACAAGAAAAGACTGAGGGACTGGCCTGTGATCAAACCGGGCGACACCAAGGCCCTGCAACAGCTGGCTGACTTTCTAGATGGGTGTTCTGCTACTGCTGATGTCGTGCCAGGCATGAGAACGCTAGGCGAAGCAGAAGAGAATGCAATGATCTTGAAGAAGCTGCCGAGGTACATCGTCGATAAGTGGAAAAGGATCGTGGACAAGAAAATCTACGAGCCAGAGCCTGGCCAAGAACCGTGTTACCCATCGTTCGATGAATTTGTCACATTTCTTGCAAGAGAAGCAAGAATCGCCTCGGGCCCCGTGGCGATGCTGGCGACCCAGGAAGAGACGCGGAGCCAGCGTCGCCCGCAAACACAACCCGCTAATGGTAGAGTCAGGACCTTCCTGTCATCAGCAGGCGCCCCCAGGCCGGCAACTGAACTACGTAGCGGACACACTGGAGGCTCACTGGATCCGACGCCTATCAAGTGCTTGTTGTGTCCAGGACGACACATCACTGGACTTTGTGATGTCTTCAGATCTAGCTCGTTAGATGAACGTCACGAGCTGGTAAAGAGATATCGTCTCTGTCGCGGTTGTCTTCGAGCTGGCCATCGCTGGCGTGAATGTAGGCGCAAGGAGACCTGTGACAGATGCGGCAAACGACACCCGACCCTGCTGCACGACGAACGACTGGCCTCCGTGCACAGGGAGACACAAGAGAAGAGATCGGTCCACGATGGATCTACTCAGACTGCAACGTCACTGCAGGTGACAGCCGAACGAGGGACGACACCCTGCTCACATTCGATGATCGTACCCGTCAGGATCTGGCACAGACTTCATCCGGAGTTGAACCTGGTGACGTATGCAGTTTTGGATTCACAGTCGGACGCGTGCTTCCTGAAGAGCAGCGTTCGGGACTCTCTGCAAGCTGACGGTGAACCGATACAGTTGGAGCTAAGCACGATGGCCGGCAAGTCAAGGCTGGAGTCACTGGCTGTAAAGGACCTGGTCATCGAATCCCTGAGCACAGGCACCGAGATTGAACTACCAACCACGTACACACGGGATGACATTCTTCTTGATCGACAGCTGATCCCAAGGAAGTCAACAGTTCAGGCTTGGGAGCATCTCACAGAAGTGGCATCGAGCCTACCGAGGTACTATGAAGAGGCTGACATCGGTCTGCTGTTGGGGTTGAACTGTGGTGCAGCCATCAAGCCTCTGCAAACAGTCACAGGTGGAGACAACGAACCCTGGGCAGTTCGCACTGAACTGGGGTGGTCTGTTGTGGGCACGGTCGAGACACCGACGACGCCCTCTTCAGGCTGCTACCTCGTCAACGTGGGTAGTGACGTCACTATCAGGCGACACTTTGCCTTCAGGATGCAAGTGAGAGAAGTTACTCCAGAACAAGTATCACATCTCTTCGATAGTGACTTCAAGGAGGTCTCAAAGGGTGCCAAGATGTCACAAGAGGACATGAGGTTCGAGACGTTGATGAAAGAGCAGATGGTGCAGGGAGAAGATGGACACTTCGTAGCACCGCTGCCGCTGAAAGACCCGGACTCTCAGTTCCCGAACAACCGGATCATGGCAGAGCAGCGTCTTGCTTCCCTCAGGAGACGCTTGCTATCGCAGCCGCGCTTGAAAGAAGAGTATCAAGCATACATGCAGGATATGCTCGATAAAGGCTACGCTGAAGCTGTTCCGGATGACGAGCGATGCCGTGACGACGGGAAGGTATGGTATGTCGCTCACCACGGAGTGTACAGTCAAACCAAACAGAAGCTGCGCGTAGTGTTTGATTGCAGTGGAGAATTCCAGGGATGTTCCCTGAACAACCAGCTCATGCAAGGGCCCGATGTGTCCAACAACCTGTGCGGCATCCTGACTCGGTTTCGAAAGGAGCGCATCGGTATCACATGTGACGTGAAGGGCATGTTCAACCAAGTCAGGGTAGCCCCCGAAGACAGAGACCTGATAAGGTTTCTATGGTGGGAGAACGGCGACATGCGGCGAGAGCCATCCGAGTACCGGATGACGACACATCTGTTCGGCGCTTCATCTTCGCCGGCGTGCGCCATGAGTGCCCTGAACAAGACAGCCGACCAGTACGAAGAAGTGTTTGGATCTGACGCGGCAGACTTCATCAGAAGAGATTTCTATGTGGATGATGGTCTGACGTCGACTACCGAAGAGAAGTCAAGTGTGCAGCTGGTCAAGGACACGATCAGCATGTGCTCGAGTGGAGGTTTTGAGCTGCATAAGTTCACATCCAACTGTCCCGAGGTGGTGGCAAGTGTTCCCGAGAGCCGGCGTGCAAAGTCCTTGGAGCACGTGGACATCTCTGAAAGGACTGTCATTGAACACGCACTCGGCATGAAATGGAATCTTCAAGAAGACTCGTTCCACATAAATACGGACATCTCAGTGAAGCCGACAACCAGGAGAGGAATCCTCTCCATGGTCAGCTCCCTGTATGACCCACTCGGCTGGGTGGCCCCATTCACACTTCTAGGAAAGAACATTGTGAAGCAACTGTGCTGTGACGGGCGTGACTGGGATGAGCCTGTTCCGGACCACGTCGAGCCCCCGTGGGAGGAATGGAAGACGGACCTGAAGCAGATCGCAGACATCTCTATTCCAAGAAGGTACGCCTTCTCTGAGCACAGCCTGGCGGACTGCAGATGTGAACTGCACCACTTCTCGGACGCAAGCCTAGATGGATATGGAGCATGCAGTTACTTGCGTATCATAGATCAAGATGGATCAGTTACAACGTCACTGGTCATGAGCAAGAGTCGTGTCACACCGAAGAAGTCAGTGACAATCCCAAGACTGGAGCTGGCTGCAGCTGTGGTAGCAGTGAGGACAAGTGTCTTCCTGCGAAGTGAGCTCTGTCTGCCAAACCTCACCGAACACTTCTGGACAGATAGTTTGGCCGTGTTGGGTTACGTTCAAAACGAAAGCAAACGGTTCCACGTCTACGTGGCTAACAGAGTGCAAGAGATCAGACAGTTCTCGTCAGCCCGACAGTGGAGGTATGTCCAGTCAGCGGACAACCCTGCCGACCTAGTCTCACGCGGGATGCGGGCCGACAGTCTCAAGACGAGCACCCTATGGTGGGAGGGCCCCTCCTTCCTGAAACAGCCCGGAAGTCTTCCGGGTGGTGAAATCATTGTCGAGGTGCCCGCAGATGATCGGGAAGTCAAGGCGGCGGCATTCCAAAGCGGAACTAGTACAGGACAGCTGCCGAAGTCGTATGGTACGATGTCTTCAAGACTGTCGTACTTCTCGAGCTGGTATCGGGCGAAGAGATCAGTGGCCCTTTGTCTTCGCTACAGAACGCTCCTCTTGGAGAGGATCAGGTCCAAGAGTGGCGGCAAGTCGGAGAAATGTTCACCGAGTGGACCGAGAAGAGAATCAGATCCAGTCAGTGTGAAGGAGATGCAAGAGGCCGAGAAAGTCATCCTGAGAGCAGTACAGGAAGAGTGTTTTGTGAAGGAAATGAAAACTGACGCAACGAAGATGACTTCTGGAGTGACAGCAGACGGTACCAGCTCCCTGAAGCGGTTG